TATGTCTGTGATTATTTTATTAAAACAGATAACCTGACTGTTGTGTGTCTGTGATTTTTTTATTAAAACAGATAATGTGACTGTTGTGTGTCTGTGATTTTTTTTTATTAAAACAGATAATGTGACTGTTGTGTGTCTGTGATGGGTGTATATAAAGAAGCTGTTGACTAACAAATTATGTGTTGTGAATGTTTTAAGTGTCAATTATTAGGTAATTATCTTAGAGTTACATTGGCACTTTTCTACTTGTTATCCCTAAATTATTGTAAATTTACAATTTTACATTTAATGCTTGAAAGTAAGTTATTTGTTTTTTATGATAAAATATTTATTTTTATTTTAGTTGAGATAATGTATATTGTTTTGATGTTACAGAAGTTGTTGAAACATTGTGGCTGGAGTCTGTTTTGTTAGCTTTCATCAAAAGCTATAAATGATATAGTTAAAAGTGTGAAAATGCTGTAATTAAGTACATGTTGAACATAGATATTGTACAAACCGATACAAGTAATCATTATTGAAATGTTTTACCTAAAGATTTAATCTGGATACATCAATTTAACTATTTATTTTTTGAATGCACAAAAAAATGCTTTGTATTTCTTATTCAGTTTTCTTTTGGGCTGTGTGTGTATCCTAGTGGTTAGTGTTCTGCAGTATGGGACTGTGAATGTGCTAACAGTTTGTGGTGGCACTGTTGACTCGCTACCCTCCCTCTAGATTTTTGATTCAAGTTTAACTATGCACAAATAGTTAGCTCATTATGTAGTATTTTCTTAAATTATACTGTTTATGTTGAGTAGTTGAAATTGTGTAGAAAACCACAAGTGGGATATTGTGAATACATGTGAGATTACAATAATAAAATATTTCTCATCACAGAATCAATCAGGAAGGGTAGCAGATTGTTGTGAAAAGATAAAAAAGTGAGTCAGAGACTTCTCATTTGAATTACTAGTGGAAGTTTAAAAGCTGTCCTAACACTGATCTAATTTCTGAATTCATTAAAGACTTTCTGAAATATCTTGCCTACTTGCTAAATTTGTTAATCCCAAAGTTAATAAAGGTGTCACATTGGTAAAGACTGATAGTTATTTTCAGAAATAATACCTCACCTTCGACCACGGAATAGATTGATCCCTTGTGCATCCACCCATGAGACTTGTATGCCACTATCCTTGGCCTAACTTCCACCTAAAAATCATGTGTTTATTATTAGCTATGCTAGTGCATGATGACATCATCACATGACAATAGCTCTCCACCGATAGGAGAGTGACACAACCTCCTTCTACAGTAACTCCCCCTAAGTACTTGCATTTGAAATAAATTCATTGCTTTCCTTGACATTGTCTAGAATGGACGTTTTAAAAATTATTAAGGAGTTACAGGAGATTTCAGATAGTTTACAAACTTAAATTTAATTTAAATGTTATTAATTTCTTTTATAACTAGATAATTTTTTTTTTCCTGCTTACCCATTATGAATTCTTTAAGTAACGGTAACTCCTGCTCTTTGTCTCGTGATAGTGATGATGTTCCTAACATAGTACCTCTGCAATGGTGAAAGTAACTCAAATTTATTACTGGTATGATGGTAGTGTTTGCACTCCCCTTATCCAAACACCCACATTTTATAGAATAATGCTAATTTATGTGGACCAAAGCATCAACATTTGAATATAAAAATTAATTGATTTTAATACTAACAGCTACTTATTTTAATAGAAAAAAAAGTTTTTCAGTTTGATTTGTAAACATTTTTAGGTTGGAATGGAGTCAAAAATAGTACCTAACTCATATGCATGCATCCCACATGAAGTGCAGTATCTTTTAAAACAATATAACAAGACACCCAACAGTATGTGTAAAAGTCATTATGGTAAGTCGAAACATAAAATGACCTTGACAAAATGATTTCGTTAAGACATGCAGGTAAGAATTGTAGTGTCAGTACACCGTACCAGATTGTGCCGTCTTACTTTCACTACTGAGCTTGTGTCTTTTTGTGGCTATTGGGGAGGCTTGTTGTCTGTGAAGGACATGACAGCCTTTATTCAATGTGTTGTGGGTTCCTTCATGCACACTGGCTTCTTCCTCCCATCCCTTCTCCCTAGTTTGAACATGGTCAGAATGATTATTTTGACAGGCCATCTTCCCTGACAGGATTTGCTCTAGTGACAGCTCTATCTGTGAAGTAAAATCCTCACTCTTTTTATCTCTTCATGTACATGATTTTTACAGGTATATTCTTTTCTTTTTCCTTCTCCCTTTGTCTTTTGATTCCTCCCATGCTTGACTACATGAAACCCATACTTGAGACTACTTTTTCTTCCTTCCTTTACCTGACATTAGGGTCCATGCAGACTCACTTCTCAAACACCTACACACATTTGTAATAACATGCCTTGTCATCCTCAAATACTTGTCTCTTTTGTTCTGGCTTACTGCCATTTCTGTTCCTCAATTTCCATTATTTGGTATTTTGTTTACCTGTTTGGGGATGGACCCCTTAACTTTTATTTCCTTATCCAGTGCCCAGTTCTCATGTCTTTGTCTCTTTCTAACCACCCTCCTCTGTTACCTCTTTAACTTCACCTTATGACTGAAGTACTTTATTGTGCTCAGGAGGGGTTTTCTGGAGAGGCTCATTATCTTCTTTTCACCACATTGGCCTACACCTCTTCTCCTGCTCTATCCCTCCTTACTTGGTTCCTCTACTGTTTGAATGGGATGCTCTCCTCGCTAATGTATGATTCCCTCATGCTTATCTCCATAATCTTTTTTGAGCTTCATTTCTTTGCCCTGAGATTATTTATTGTGTTCCTGACTCACTGGACACCTAGGTTGAAGTGCCCTGGCATCAGTTCTCATTATTTACTATGGTTTCCAGTCTTTTTCAACCTCATCTTTCTGTTTCTAAACCTGCTGAATTCATGTTTCTCTTTCCCATCCGGTTTCCTGGCCTTCTTCTACTTCCTGTCCTTCAACTTCCTGATGTTAGAGTTGTCAATCGTATCATCAGTGACTGTCATGTTGGATCTGGCATTGTGGAGACTCATCTATTTCTTTTTTTTCAGCAGCCTTCGGTCTCCATTTTTTCAATGGATGGGTTCTTCAGGTTCTCACCAACACCCTATCTCTCCACTTCTCCTCACCTTCTCCCCTTTTTGTTTTCTTTTCCTCCTCCTTCTTTTCTCCTTTATGTTCAGTGTCTTGAGAGTGGGGGTCTCAGATATCTTGGCCAAGAATGCCACCAAGAGGATATTTACATGGTTATTACTCTTGTCTTTTTGTTGTCCTCCAAAAAACTTTAGACTGGCATCCAGTTATTAACCTGTCATCTCTCAACTGGTTTCTTATCATCCCTTGGTTCCATATGGTTTGTTTTTTTCTCTAGGGGTTCTTTTAGATGGACTATGAATGACCAAGGTCAATACTTCGGACACCTTGTTACAAATTTCAATTGCCCCCATCTCCCAGATATTTTATTTGTTTTGTCCATTGGGACCAGGTTTTACAGTTCCATTCTCTTCCCATTGGCATTGTGTAGGATCCATTATTACATGGATTATTATCTTCTTCTCATCCCTTTTCAAGTTGAACCCTTCTCTCCCACCTGCTTTCTTCTGCTGTATACTGCTTGGCTGGGCTAGCTTGCCAGGCTTTCCAAGTCTTTTCACTTCACACACTTGCTCTACAGTTGGTACATCTAAGCAGGTTCTTCAGTTCTCATCTCAGTTGGGCTTAGCCTTCTCCACTTTGTTTTTGAACAGTGGAATGTCTTGTCACCTAGGTTTGCCCTTCTCTTTCACACCCTGTACACGAGGTTCTTTTGCTTGTGGGAACTCTGGATTCCCGTGAACGGCTCATTATTTTAGGCCACACACATGTTCCTCTTCCAGTTGAAATTGTGGGACAAGTGGCACCCTTCTCGGGTTCCATTGTCCTTGATTGTGTGCCTCATTTCTTCTCTTCTTGAGGATTTTTCCTGGAGGATTGACTGTGCCAACTCCGTGATGGGCATCCCCTTGCTGCCCTCTGACTGCATCTCCATCTCTTCACAGATGCCTCTCTCTGTTGTGTGTGTGTGGGGGGGGGGGGCATCTGTGAACGACTACACAACTCCTTGATCTTCTCACCATCCATTTGGCCTTTCCCATTTATTCCCTGTTCTTGTAGATCAGTTGGTCTTGATTCACTCTGACAGTTCCATAGTCATTTCTTATATCAGCTGTCATAGGAGATACCTATTCCAGAATTCTTTGCTTCCTCACATTGAATCTCTTATTTTGGGCTTATTCCCATTGAGTTTGTCTCGTGGCTTGTAATGAGCCAGGGGCTTTGAACTTGGTGGTGGATCACTTTTCTTGGCCAGGCAGGGTTCTAGTCATGGAGCGATTTCTACCGTCAGGTTTTACATTGGGTTTACTCAGTTGGATATGCCTCTGATCAATGTTTTTGCCACTCTTAATACCAGACATCCCCTCTTTGGGTCCCCAGTTTCTCATCCTTTAGCCCTGGCAGTCAATCTCAGCCAGGTCTGATCTCCACTTTTTCTGTGTGCCTATCCTCCTATTCCTCTTCTCCCTCATGTTCTTGCTTTGATATGAGACTCCTTTTTTTTCAGATATTGTTGATGGCACCTCTTTGGCCGACAAAACCCTAATTTCCTCTGCTTTATCAAGTGGCATGTGGGTTGCCTCTTCCTTTGCCCCATTCCCACACACTCTTCCTCCAACCACATTTCTCTTTTATCAAGTGGTGTTGTCCTTTCATCTTCACATGTGGGATTTGTCCAAATCCAAGTCCATTACCCATAGGGCTGGACTCTCCAATCGTGTAGTCTTTTTCTTATCCCATTCCTGTCATATTTCAACTCTGTTCATCGATCAACAGAAGTGGCAGGCTTTTCGACATCTGTCCATCAGCCTCTCCCTTCCTCCAGGCCATCCTCTTCAGGCCCACTTTATCACCAACATTTCCTGTTACTTTCAGGTTTCTATTCTCCTGTCCTCTCGAATTTGTTCTGATCTTTCCTTCTTTACCAACCTGCTTGTCCTACTCCCATGCTTGACTTGGACATGTGTTGGGGAATTATTGCACAATGAGATTGTGTTGCCATCTTATTGGTGGGGGTCTGTTGTTACATAATGATGTCTTCATGCACTAATGCAGTTCATGTTAAACACATGATTTTTAGGTGGGAGTTAGCTCAAGGCTAGTGGTGTACAAATCTCATTGGCAGACGTGTGTGTGTGTGGGATCAAACTAGTCTGTGTATAGAGGTGAGTATCTATTGGAAATTTACTATAATATTTAAGAAATATTAACATTATTTATATTTGATTGAAAACATTCATTGTATAGTAACTAGCAAAAACATTTAAAGAATATTAGTTGTTTTTATATGTATACATAAAAAAAGTTCATTCCAAAGTAATTGTAGCTATTTTGAACAGGAGAAATGTGTTATTTAGGTCAACTCAATTGTTAAAAGACTGTAGTAATGTTTTAAAGTCATCAGAATATGGTTTAAAACAAAAAGAAATAGAAAATTGATATACATATTAATTGGTCAAAAGTTGCTTCATGATACAGAAGTTCTAGCTTAAAATGTGCCAAAGTGTCCAAATAAGAACTAGTTATGGGACCATATAGGGGGTTCATATAATATCATGAGTTCTTGAAAAACCTTGACCATCGGATGGGCAATTTAGGAGTCATTAGCTTGACTGTCAGCTCAAATGACTAAGGCCTCCTGTCACAATAGAAAGATTCAAAATTCTCAAGATGGCCAGCCGTGAACATATGTTCAGACACACACAAAAAAAAAGATTCTTATGATGAAGCTTTTGACCCAACTTAAATGAGAACCTTAATGTAAGGATGTTACTTCTAACCATGTAAAGTACAGTTTAATTTAAATGTTTTTAGTTTAATACTCTTGTGATACAATGTTTTCAGTGGAATCATTATAGTATTTTACTATATGTAAGACTGTTTTTCCAAAGCCTTTTACTTTGGCAAGAACCAGATAGTGCAGCTCAGCTCTATTGCTTCTTACTGGCTGCCTTTTTCGCCTCTTGTGTCTTCCCTGCTAGTCAGCTTTTTACTGCAGCTGGTGAGTAGGCAACCATTCTGTTTAATATAGTGTACTTTCACCAACACCCATCATTTCCATATTATTGTTTTGTATGGTTTTAGACATAGTAATTATGTTAGTTTGAAACTAGAAATTGTTGGTAACTCTTTC